CTAATAAGTATTCCTTTATATGTGGTTCAGAGTTCTGGGACCATCCCCTGAGCCTGCTTGGTTGGGTATTCTGTGTTGTTGTTGGCGGAGCTCTCTGTTATTAAATGCTACCCTTTTGATCTAAAATTTTTTATTATTCTAAGGTGTGCATGCCTCCTTATTGCTATTATTACCCTTATAGGCCTGTCTATTGTTTGTTGAAAATTGAGCTATGGAGGTGAATTCATTTCCAAACCTGAAGGATGACTAAAGGCCATAGTCTTGGGTTCCACCAGTCTCTGTCTGACCAGTAAGGCTAGTGTATTATTGTTAGTACTTGTAACTTTTTATTGTGAATTGAGTGAAGGTTTACAGAGCAGGTCATCAGTTTTACATTCAACATGTCATATACTTTGCTTCATTATATGGTTGCAATCCCCTCCATGTGCCAACAGTTACCAGCATTTACCTCTATTCACTCCAACCACTGTAGTATTCCTCCCTGTGTCTCCCGGTTCCCCCCCCCCCGCAATCTTTCCTCTGCCAACCTCCTTCCAGTTGTATTTTGCCTACCCAATCACCCATGTCAATGCATAAGCTGCTGTATGTTTATGATTTTGAGTTTTGTTCCATATTTTACTCTCACTCTATCCAGGACCATCTACTGTGATCCCTTTCAGAGCAGTTGGTAGTGGTAAAAAACTGAGCACCATCTAGTTCTTCTTGTCTCAGGGTCATGGAGACTGATGTTTGCATGGCCCATTAGTTCACTGAATTGTTTCCATGTGTCTTTGATTTTCTTAATTCTTCTTTCCTCTGGACAGGAGAGGCCAATAGCTGCACCTTAGGTGGACGTTCACAAGCTTTTAAGACCCTAGTCATTACTCACCAAAGTAAGATATAGAACATTGTCTTTGTTGACTATGTTATGCCAGTTGACCTTGATGTCCCCAGAGACTATGATCCTGAGCCCCCAGGTCCAGCAATTCATTCTTTCAAGGTGTTTGAGACTATTTAACTGAATGGGTTTTTGTAATTTTTTTCTAGGTGAATAGATAACTTACTTTTCAGTCTCAGTTTTAAACTATCTATGTTAAACTTTTTCCACCTGAAGGGGGGAACACAGAACATTTTTTAAATTGAAAAGATGAAAACAGAAAATCCAGAAAGGATCAAATGGATAGCTGGTATATGAGATTGGTTTATATCTAAGATCAAGAAAATCCTAGAACTCATAGAAATTTTGTAATCATTCTAGTAGTATGGCATATTAAGGAAATAATATTTCAATTATATATTAATTTCAGAGCACCCACAAATAAGTAATTCTGAAGGAAGTTATAGTACAACCACTCAATAATTATATTGTTGTTGTTGTGTTGTTAGGTGTTATCAAGTCATACCGATTCTTAGCACGACAGAATAAAATAGAACATCAACTGTTTCTTTTTGGTACAGTGACTCTGTGTATTCTTTTACTATACTCATTCAATCTGTATGCTGAGAAAATAAGATGAGAAACTGGATTATGCGAAGCAAAACTTGGCATCAGGATTGGAGGAAGACTCATTAACCACTTGTGATATGTAGATGATACAATTAACCTTGTTTGCTTAAAGTGAAGAGGACTTAAAAGATTTATTGATTAAGATCAAAGACCACAGCCTTCAATATGGGTTACTCCTTAATATAAAGAAAACAAAAATCCTCACCAGTGGACCAATAAATAATATGAGGATAAAAGGAGAAAAGATTTAAGTTGTCAAAGACTTTATTTTGCTTGGATCCACTATTACCACTCATGGAAGCAGCAGTCAAGAAATCAAATGGCGTGTTGCCCTGGTAAATCTGCTTCAAGTATTGCACCTCTTTAAAGTGTTCGAGAGCTAAGATGTCAGTTTGAGGACTAAGGTACACTTGACACAAGCCATTGTTTTTGTTGCGGCGCTGTGGGCTAATGCATCAGACTGCAAAGTCGTTTGAACTTCAAGGTCGGTGGTTCAAGCTCACCAGCTGCTTCTTGGAAACCCTATACAGGGTCACTATGGGTCAGAATCGACTCGACGGCACTTGACAACAACAACAATATGCATGTGAAAGTTGGACAGTGCATGAATGTCAAAGTTGGATAGTGAGTAAGAAGATTTGAAGCATTTGAGTTGCGGTAAGGAGCTCTGGTAGAGTAGTGGTTACGAATTGGGCTGCGAACCTTAAGGTCAGCGGTTCGAAACTACCAGCCACTCCACGGGAGAAAAATGAGGCTTTCTACTCCCGTAAAGATTTACACCCTCGGAAACCCTGTACAGGGTCGCTATGGGTCGGGACCGACTCGATGGCACTTAACAACAACAACAACAACATTGGAGAAGAAAATAAAAGAACCATGAACTGCTAGAAGAACAAACAAATCTGTGTTGGAAGAAATGCAGCCAGAATGTTCCTTAGAAGCCTGAATTACCAGACTTTGTCTTGTGTGCTTCAGACATATTATCAGGAGGGACCAACCCCTGGAGGAGGACATCATGCTAGGTAAATTAGAGAGTCAGTGAAAAATGGGTGGACCCTCAATGAGATGGATTGTTCCAGAGGCTCAAGCTTAACAACGATATGCAGATGGCGCAGGACTGGGTAGTGTGTCTTTCTGTTGTGTATAACGTTGCCTTGAGTTGGAACCAACTCTATGGCACCTAACAACAGCAACAAGGATTCCACGGAGATCAGTTTGCATTGCCTTGAGCTGTGCCTCAATTTTACTATGTTGGGTTTTAGGAGCAATGTATGCCCTATTCCATGGACCCTGGGATGCAGGGCCCTTAAGTGTCTCCTCCATCTGAGCCTGCGTGGTAACATATTAGGGGTGTACATAAAGCAACAAAACCACCATACCCTTAGAGCTGTGGCATGTTCTGCTCCAGTTAGGCAATGAGCCATCATCACCTGCTGGTGGTCACTGACTGGGCAAGTGTAGCCACTGTAGATGTCCAAAGATGAGTACTCTAAGGGTGGGGTGAGGATGGGGCACCTGTTCTCTGAGGAGCCAGAAATACACATCCGTGTTAGAGCTTGTATGTTTTAGGTTGATGGTAGTCCAGTGTTTGCTTCAAGGCAGGTTCCTTCTTCCTCTGGTTCTATGTAGATTTTTGTATCAAATTACCCAGTTTATCAAAGATCAGATTTACTTCTTTTACCAAAACCATTTTTTTGTTGTTTCTTTTGATTGAGTGGGTCTCACGAAGACTACCTGTGTTCAAATCCTGCCTCTGCCTTTCTTACCTTGGGCAGATTACTGAACTTCTTGATCCTTCTTATTTTTCACTTAAAACATTAGAACAATAATAATAACTATCCTTGGGGATTTTTGTAGATTATAAAGAGCTTGAAACAGCTATTGATAAATGTTATCCATGAGGTTTTCAGCAGTTGTATAGAATATGTTGATTTTTAACATCTTGTGTGTAGATTCTGTAAAATCTTAATTGACCTGCTTTTATTTGGCTTTATAGCAGAATGTTAAAGAATGCTTTGTTGTTGTTAAGTGCTGTCGAGTCAGTTCCTACTCATTATCGACTCCTTGTAGGGTTTCCGAGGAGTGGCTGGTGAGCTTGAACAGCTGACCTTGTGATTCAAGGCGACCTTAAGACCCGCGCATTAACCTACAGCATCACACCAGGACTCTTTAATCAGTATACTTAAATTAAAAATATAGCTTCTTCTCTGTATTCAAAATTTTAGCATTCCCTGAAGGAGCACTGCCGTTTATAATGATTTTTAAAAAACATTCTTTTAAAAATCATTTCCAGTTTTACTTACATTTTGTATTTGCAGTCATCCTTGACTCCTTTCTCTCTCACCCTACAGACAATCCATCAGCAAATCCTGACCACCTGGATTCGGAATCTGACCATTTCTCTTACCTGCATTGTTAGCACCCTGGTCCAAGTCACCAGTGCCTCTTGCCTTCTAACTTGCTTCTGCCTCTCCTCTTGCCATGCTCTCCTCCTGTCCTCTTCAGTCTATTTCCTACACTGTAGCCAGTAACCCTTTTGAAGACTACATCAGATCATATCACTCCTTTCTTCTGAACCTTCCAAATAATTTCAAAGTCCTTACCCCAGCCTTCATGATCTCCCCTCCCTCCCCTTACACCTTTGTAGTTCCAAGTCCTTCGCTTCTCTTCCATAATCCAATGTGGTCACACTGCTTCCTTTGCATTCTTGCACAGACCAAGTGCGCTACTACTACCTCAGGGTCCCTGTACTTACTGTTCCCCTCTCCTTAGAACCCTTTTCTTTCAGATTTCTGCAGGGTTTACCCACCCATTTCATTCATGTTTCTGCTCAAGTGGCCCTTGATGGAACCCTATATGAGACAGCATTCTAGTGCACCCCATCATAGCTTCTTCACCTTGTTTTTTTTTCTTTCTTCATACTCCCTACTAACACCTAACACAATATATATTTATTTGTTTATTGTCTTTCTCTTTCCAGAAGAATTTTTTTTTTGTTTATTGCCATAGTCCTAGCATTTATAGCAGAACTTGGCATGTAGTATGCAGGCCCTCTGTAGTTATTATTAAAGAAATTAAGAAATGACTGGAGGCATACATGCAAACATTTTAATATTCTTTACTAACTTCTCAAATAGCATACATATTGATTTTTCCTATAGCATTCTGGCTTCAAAAAAATAATCTTGAAAACTATTTTTTGATCCTTTTTCTTTTCATATTTATGGTGATTGTATACCCACATTGCAGACTGACTAACATAATTCCTAACAATCCCCTTTGGGTTTCTTCTTTACATTTTTCACTGCTTTGGTTTTTTTTTTTTCAGTATCATAAAATCTGTAAAAACTGCTAAAATCTTGCCATCAATATTGATTGCTGGGAACTTTAATTTAATGGTAATTTTTAGGGTGGAGGTGAGTTTGGTAAATTTGCAAAAGTGGGCTTCTGGTAGAGTTTTGGGGAGCTGTCCTGTTTTTTCCCAAAGCTGTCCTGAGCCTGGCCTGCCTGCTGCATGGGGCTCATCTGTACCTGTTGCTGCAGATCAACACCAGCGCAGAGAGACACTGGCTACACATCAGCTCGGATGCGTCCCGCCTGGCTGTCATCTGGAAATATGGCGGCATCTACTTGGACACCGACGTCATCTCCATCAGGCCAATCCCGGAGGAGAACTTTTTGGCTGCACAGGGCTCTCGTGACTCTAGTAATGGGGTATTTGGGTTTCTCCCTCACCACCCTTTCCTATGGGGATGCATGGAAAACTTTGTGGAACACTATAATTCAGACATTTGGGGCAACCAGGGCCCCAATTTGATGACAAGGATGTTGAGGGTATGGTGCAAACTCGGAGACTTCCAGGAGGTGAGTGATCTCAGGTGTCTGAACATATCCTTCCTACACCCCCAGAGATTTTACCCCATTTCCTACGCAAAGTGGAGGCGCTACTATGCCATCTGGGATACAGAGCCAAGTTTCAATGACTCTTATGCCTTGCATTTGTGGAACTACATGAACCAGGAAAGGAAGACCGTGGTTAGAGGAAGCAACACATTGGTGGAAAATCTCTACCGCAAGCATTGTCCCAGGACTTACAGGAACCTGATTCGAGGTCCACAAGAGCCGGTGACTCGAGACCTGGATCCAGGCAATAAATAGATTTGACACTGGGTTGCTGCTGTGATAGCATGGGGCTGGACATTGCCTGGAGTGTCACACTTTTACTTGATTTTCGCTTTCCCTAGGGAGTTAGGGCTTGCTCACATATCTGCCAGCACTTGTTTTCTCTGCTTGTAGTAGAACAATCCCAAAGAACAGAAGCTTATAAAACATAGGAGTATAATTTACCTTATGCAAGAAGACACTGAAGACCACTTGTGAGGGTTGAAAATGTAAAGGTAGATGTTTTGTAGCAAGGTGGGGAGTGATTAACTGTTCAGTCTAGGAACTGAGGTCCCTGGGACCATCAAGAGCGGAGAGCGGGACCCTAACCAGAGAAGCAGTGATGCGTGAGATGGAGGCAGAGACAATGACGTGGAGAGATGGAGCATTTGGGGACTTTAGACACAGAGAGGGAGAGGGGCTATGTGCTGACGACTGGGGGGCAGGCTTGTTAGTGTATACCCTTTGGTTGGTTGATGATGCATGGAGGGGATTGTAACCATGACAACGAAACGATATAGGATAGGATGAATGTAAAACTAATGTTCTCTGTTCTCCCACGTAAACTGTCACATAATTCATGATAAAACATTAAAAAAAAAAAAAAGAAGACGCTGAAGACAGATCGTCAGGACTGACATGGTATCTCTGCAGCTATCAGGGACCCATGGCTCTTAACATCTTTCTACTTGTTATTCTTTGTGTCCATGCCCATGGTCCTTGATGGCTGCTTGACCCACATCTCATAATGTCTGCATTCCAGAATGCAAGTTCAGAGGAGGAGGAAAGGTATACTCCTTTATTTTATGAAGACTTCCTGGAAGTATCATAACACATCCCTTACATCTCTCTCTTGAGAATGTAGCTGTAAGAGAGGCTGGGAAATTTACCTCTTCTTTCCATGAGCTATTAAGAACCAGTTTCTATAAATAACCTTCAGTTAACATTTTCCTTTTGGCACTCTGCTTTTTGGAAAAAAATGTTTATCTTTTTCTCCAAATATAAAATACTGAAACTTTTTCGTATAACATCCATCCATCTCATGTCAGTTTGATAGTTTCCCTTTTGAGAATCATTGTTAAAGAATACTCACAAGTCATGTCTCTGTGACCACTCCCTATGGCTGTCATCTGAGTTTTGCCTCTTTTCTGATCATCTCCACAGGCTATGATTCTAAGGGCAGCCCTTCTGAGGTGGGGAAGGGTCAGTCACACTGGATTGCATTTCCACATTTAAAGAATGAATGAAAAATGGTTCTTCAACTAACATTCCTGTCCTTGAATAAGTTTTAAGGGGATAGATTAGAAATATTTCCAATATTTCAAAAATATGTACATTATATTTTGATATTATGATAGGATCAAATAGGCTAATTTGAATGTCTTTTCTTATGCTGAGTTGTTATGAATTCATTGTGACAATAATGATAGTTTGATGTTTATTGTAAAATATGTCTTTGATTAATAAATTTTGGAAATAAGTTAATATTTTATTTAATAAGTGTGGCTTGTTTAGTAGAAAAATACCTTAAGATAAAGTAGTAATGACAATTGGACAAAGAAATAAGAAAAGCGAGGTAAAAGGCGTTCCCCAGACCCCAGATGACCCGAATTCTTTCTGTCCTTCAATGAGTCTTTGCAACGTGTTTATGTCATACTATGTTTTGCAAATAGATTCATGATGTGGTTTGTCTGATATTAGCTTTTTTTTTTTTCTCTTCAATCCCACACTCTTAGAATTTTAAACAATAAAAGTATATGGAATAAAAAGTGAAAATATCTTTCGTACTACTGTCAAGTTTGACATATGTCTGTCACTTTTTCTCTGCTTATGTACTCCTGTGAATTGATAGGAAGTCTTGGCCACAGGTTTTCCAGTGTCCCCCACTACCACCTTATCTGCCCTGACTCTTTCTCCGGGATCTTATAATGCAGCAACTAAAGGGCAATTTACTTTCCTGCTTTACACTAATAAGGTCAGCATCAGTGCTAATTGGTTGGTCCCTGTGCCAGACTAGGTGCTAAATATTTTGTGTATCACCACTGCCTTTGTCATATATATAGTTGTGGTCAAGTGAATTATGATTCTCTACCATAGTCTTTGTAACTCCCACTAAATGATTGGGTGGAACTATGCAAATAGGATATGGAACTCTTATGTGAAGATTGGTTAGTTTTGCCATCCCATTAGACTTAAAAAGAGCCGTCTCAGAAGAAGGAACAGATGATTCCAGGCCCGTCAAGAAAGAAGAGTCACAAGCAGAGTACAAGATACCTGGTGGAGAAGTGGTGACAGAAAAGACAAGGGTATGGAGAGACATGACTTTCTGGCCCATGGCCAAGTAAAACTGTGTGTCTTTTGGAAGGAGGCTGGCTTGATGATTGGGTGCCCTTTGAGTATTTACCAACAGCACTAGAGGAGCTTCTAACACTTGTCTAAGTCGGGCAGAGGTCAAAGGGCTGCATGGCTGAGAAGCTGAGGCACACTGAAGTGTGCCTGCAGTACAGCTAGAAGAGGCATCCCTGACTGGAGCACTTCTGCATCCTGAGTTGCTTCTGATCCTGAATTATATACCTTGTCAACTTCCCTAAGAAGCTCCACAATCGTGAGTATTGTCTGTGAGTTCTGTGTGGACATTGCAAAGGATTATCAAACCCAACTGAGAAGCAGAGTATCATGGGAAGTATAGTTGGTGTCAGAATAAGATAAAGAAAGCTGGAGGGTAGAGGCATGTCTGACCTCAGCCTCATAGGAATTGACCTTGGACTCGTGTTTAAGTTTGAATCTTTTTCTTCTTTGTGTAGTCAGAGGAGGTAAGACACCACCTCCACACCATTTTACAGTAGTTTTTAAAAATGGAATCATATAATCCACATTGTTATGTAAGTTGCTTTTCACTTCTACAATAAAATGATCACTCTTTACTTCTTTGTTGTTGTTAAGTGCTGTCCAGTTGATTCTGACTCATAGTGACTCTGTATAGAGTGTCCAAGATGCAGCTGGTGGGTTTGAACTGCCGACCTTGTGGTTCTCAGTCCAATGCTGATTCTACAGTGCCACACAAGCACACCTTTATACTTTATTCTTTAAAATAGCTGCATAGTGTTTCATTGTAGGATATATCATAATCTATTCAATCAGTACCCAATTGGTGAGCACTTAAATTGATTGCTTCTAATTTTAATAAACATCTAAAGCCACAGCAAAAGTCCTATTTCTTACAATTTTAAGTACTTTAAATTTTTTATATGTGCTGCCAAAATTGTTTTCTAGAGACTGTTTGAAAATGCCCATCATTCCATCCCTCATCAGTATTGATATTTATTTAATTTTGGAAAACACGATAGTCTAAAAAAGATACTTAATTTTTATTTGCAATTTGGTGCTATTGAGTATTTCATATATTTAGTTGACAGTATATACTTTCTTCTTCTTATTTTTTTTTTAAATTAAATGTTTTTATTTTGCATTGAGTGAAAG